TCAGCAGCAGCAAGGAAGCATAAACAGCCAGAGGCACACAGTGCTGTGATTGCATGGCTTTCACAGAAACAGGGCAGAAACTCCTGAAGGGATGAAAACAACTTTTCCTTTGTACAAGACAAGCAAGCCCTTGGCATGTTTACACTTGTGGCCCTTCTATTTTAGTTCCAGAATGGCTTTTTATTGAGAGCTGGCCTAAGATAACCTGCTCCTGCAGTGTTTACAGACTCCTTCTAAAATGTGTGTGCAGGCAGTCTGGTCCTGCCACAGTCTGCGAAGCTTTTGCTTTCCCCTGCTTCTGGTCGAGACAGATTTAGTGAACCCAAATGCAGATGTTGATGTACAAGAAGCCCATTCTCCATCCTGCTGAAGACAAACACTGAAAATACTCTCTGTCTTGAATATTATTGCACATTATATGTCACTTTTCATTCAGTGGGTGTATATAACAAAATGGAATGAGAGTGTTGCCTCTGTTTAAGAATGAATGAAGCCAGTTCTGAGCTCACATGGATCAGCAGTGTGTCAGTGAAATGTTTTATAGCAGCTTTAGAGGCAAAGAAGTCCATCAAATCTAGATTAGAAATCACCTTGCCAGCACCATGAATTTACAAGGAGCTGTAAGATACAGAGGTGAGAGAAGAGGGGAAACAAGGAAAAAAAACCACACAACTGAGAAAAAGAAGCAGAGAAAAATAGATTTATGGGATGAACTGAGGGGCTCTTCCTCCTGCCTTTTTTTTAAGCATGTCTGAAGCTCAGTTGTGCCTGTCACAATTTCTTGTCATCACACATATGTAATGTTCCCCTGGATTCCAACATTTCAGACTTTTCATTGGGGATGAGATGAATAATTTTAAGTTTGAGAATGTACAATGCAGAATTCTCGAAGCAATCTGATCAAGTTATTTACAATGGTTCATTTTATACCCCAAGGAGGACATTGCTCATTTTTCAGTCTTCTCATTAATTTTACATTATTTTACCTGACTGACAATACCAAGAAATTTAGGTAAAGTAAGCACCATATAATCTGCTTGAGGGTTATCTAAATCAAGAGCATTGCTATTTTCTGGTTGGTCCAAGAGTAGAAAAGTGGTAAATTGGTAAATACCAACCCCAAAATATATTCTGTATCAACTGCATGCTTTGTTGATGATGATGACCTTATGTGCTCATAACCTTGCCAAGAAGACATTATTGTCCATGAAATTTTACACAATATCCCTTAAATGTGATACAGAAAGTCTGCAACTTGGACCAAATATTAACCTATTTTGATTACTGAAATAGTCAGTTCCAGCAGTAATTGTGTAGTGTTTACTTTAGGGATATAAAGCCATGCAATAGCATTCCATAAAGTTGCTGCAAATGATGTAGTATTGATTATCATGGCTGCTGGCCTTATTAAATTTTTACTATATAGGCAACATGAAAGTTTACTTCTTTATTTAAGAAGTGTGTTGTATAATTTTTACTAGTATGTAGTGATGATGATTTCCCCTTCCCTCCTTTTAACCATAAGAAAAAGTCCAGTAATCTTTTCCCCAAAGATTTATTGAAGGGTTTGTCAAGAAACAGAAGCCATTGTAGTTCTGAGTTACTTTCTATCTTATCTGATATACCTTTTACCTAATGGATAGCAGCTTTTTATTATAGCTGAAAGATTGGCTTTCTCTTCCAAAGACCTATATGATGGCTCCAGCTGAGCAGATTTTTGGCTTTTTTCATCAGGTTCTAAAGGGACTAGAGCATAAGATGGCTATAGCATCTCATCTATTATGTAGGATTATTCCTACCATTAGAAAATTACTGTGTCACAACTTGGAGTAGCTGCTCTTAAATGCATAGTTTGGAAAAAGAAAAGAAAACAAAGATTGTGAGAAAAAAAATTTACCAATATATGTCATTGAAGACATATATTTAAATTTTTTTATAGGGTGGAGCTTAACTAGATGAGATTGTATGGATAGGATTATTATGTAAAGGGTCTAATTCTGCCATTATTTAGAAGAAATGGAAGATGGCAATTCTCAGGGATGTTTGAGCATTATTGTTCTTGAATACTGTACCAGAAAGTTTATACTTAAATTGGAAAAGACTGATGGACTTAGCTGTCTGCTAAATAAGCTGTTGGAACTTCACCACAGCTCTTGTGCAAGAGAGGAGCAAGCCTGGTGAAAATCAGAGCAGTTCCTGGCTTCTCTGGAATTCTCTGGTGGCAATTGCCCCTTTGGAGTGCCTGTTGTGCACTGGGAGATCCTCAGCACAGGGGCAGCCTTCCCATACCTTCCTCATACCTCCTTCTTCCCAGCCCCAGCACAGCCCTGCCTTCTCTGCTTTGTGCCTGGATCATCTACACTTTCATAAGAAGCTTGACATCCAGGTGCCTTCCACTGTTTCCAGCAGGATTTTGATTTGAGCTGCGTCTACTCTTCCTATCTATGGAGCTAAGATGCTACTGTATTGTGTGTGCCATCTGCCTAATTGGCTCTTCCCTGAGGCTTTTTCCTTCTTCCTTGCTTCAGGAACAAGCCAGGAAGCAGTGATCCTCTGATGAGTCCGTGTGTCATCTATTATGCAGTAACTGAGTAACAGCTGGCTACTGGCTCTGTAGAAACCAGAGGGTGCATAATTCAATTTTCCCATTCGTGTTCCAGTTTCTACTTGGGAATTCCCCTTGAGGATAGATAGATTTGTCTGCTTGCTAACCGCACTCAACAAAAAGAACCTGAGAGACCCACACACTGCAAAAGGATTCCAAGGAAGAATGGAAATCTTTGCTTGTGGAGGGTCACCAGAAAAGTGGCAGTAGGGTCACAAAATTAGCCTGCTCTTGGGAAGAAAACATTTTTGCCTTCCATGTTCAGTTTTGTGCTGACAAGTGTAAAAATCTCTAACTTTGCATATTTAACTTTTTGAAAACTGAGAAATGAGCTTGGCTCATTTTTTTTACCAGGCAAATTGTGTGTGACCTCAACACCTTTCCTTTTCCTGTGTTGTTGCAGAGGCAAAGTAGTAGGCAGCAGTGTAATTTTTCCTGATGCAGCTAGTGAGAAAGGACATATATCTCAAGGCGAGTTACAGTATTCCTCACCTGACTGCAAATTCCGAGATTACTGAAGTAACAAAATTGATCTAAATGTCATGTTATCCCTTGGTTTAGTGGGAAATAAATAAGATCTTCACTGACATTATTAAAGGATGTGGGCTTGCTGTCTGGAGCATAAGAAGCTTCTTTTTAATCTCCAGTAAAAATGGGCAGCCTTTCTCTGTTAATAAGTATTGCCTACAGCGTGTAATCCCATGATCATAATGACTGTGCTTCTCCTTGTTCATCCCATTGGCAAATTACAGAGTCTGGGGTGATTTACACTGGAGGACTTGAGCTGAGGCAGATGAGCCAGGCGTGGGTGGAATTCAGGGATGTGTTTGACTTGGCCACTGCACTGATGCTTCAATTCCCAGGATGAACTGCACTGGAGGAGGAGTGAAGCTGCGCAAGAGCAGCTGCTTTGCTGCTCTTGTGCTGTTTCAGCCAGGAGAGGGGATGCTGGGGAAGTGGAGAGGTGTTGGAGCACTGCAGAGGGGCGCAGGGTGGCTGTTGGTCATGGAATTTGGGCTGGGTTCTGTCCATCACATCACCTCCTGGGAATTATAGCCTGGTTGGGGAGTTCAGCACAGGACCTGGAAATCCTGGAATGTGCAATCCACCCTGGTGACTCCACAGTGTGTCCTGCCTCTGCTCACAGAAACAGGTGATGGGACATAGGACACAAGTGGCTTGATGTAGGCCTCCTGCTTCTTCACTAGCAGCTGTCAGCCAGGTGACTGAGCAGAGATATTCAGTGCTCAAATGCAAGAGCCCTTCATCACTTTCAGTGCTCTCCATTTGGCTGCCACAGCGTCACAATGAGCCCTTGGCAGAGGGAATGATTTAGCTTCAGGAAATGGAGATTTATTTCAAAAAGTCCTTTACTGTAATATCTTCCTTCTCTCTGACTGCACCGTGGGGGCATCTGATTCTTACTATGCAGGAAGTAGCTGAGGCTGTCTGATACAATTCTTTTAAAATCAAAACATTAAAATTACCATCCAATGATTTTCACACTTTCCAGGCATCCCTCCCGTCAGCATTAATTGCCCCCCTCCTGTTCCTGTTCCAAAGCTATTTGCTCTTTCTGTATGCAGCCCTTGTTCACTGCTGCACTAAACCTTTGCTGCTTTGCAGTAAAGAAAGCTTCCACTTATGCAAATTGCATTGAAATGAGTTTGAGAAAGTGATAAACAATCACATTTATTGATTGCAACTATTGGGGTTTAGTTTGTTATTTTACAGTTAATTTTGTAGAGGTAAAGGACTTTACAAATTCCCGTCTGGTATCAATGGAGTAATACAGCACTCCTATAACAATGTGTGGAAAGTGTGGTAGGGCCACCAAGCCAAAGAGATAAGAGGGTCGCATTCATCTAACATCACAGTGTCCCTTTCCCCTGTGGCAGATCTCTCTCCCATCTTGAAATCTCACTGTACTTAGCAATTCTTCTATTTCAATTACTGTGTCTTTGGATGGCAGTTAAGTTTCATGCCCCCTTATTTTCTCTTCCTCTCTGGTTCTGACACATTATTATTCCTACTAGTGACTGCATGAGGCCTCCAAATTCCCACAGTCCCCAGAAGTGATTACAGACACATTACTGAGCAATCCCCACTGGTAGGCTGGGTCAAGTGCTTTATTTTTATCCAGGGCAGCTACCAAGGAGTGTTGTTGACTTTTGCTCATGCAGCTGCTTGCTGCATGAAAAGACAGGAGTACTTCTGTCACCTGAGCATTTCAGCTGGGGGTGGGTCGTCTCCAGCCCTGGAGTACCTGGTACCCAAGCAGGGTTGCTAGTGGTCAATATGGAAGGTACAAGGTCCTTGTGAAGATAATGGATAAAGACAGAAAAAGCATGAGAAGTAAATGAGCACAGTTGGATTGTATCTTTGTCTGACACAGGGTTTGATGACCTGCAAGCATGTGCTGATCCTGGGGCTCCTGAACATGGCTACAAGACGCCCAGTGCAGGTGTTTTCTTTGAAAGTGTGGTGGTCCGGTTCCATTGCCAAGAAGGATATAGGCTCAATGGTACTTCCAAAAAACTTTGTGTGAGACACTTTAATGGCTCCCTGAGCTGGAAACCCAGTGATAAACCTGTGTGCCTACAAGAAGGTAAGTTAGTTTTCTTCAAGGTGTTCACCACATCAGTTCTTCTCACTTGTCCATGTACCATGTCTGTCTGTCTCTGGACAAAACACAACAGGCTGGAGTCCATTTCACTGTGTCTTGTTGGATACATACTTTAATTTTCCATCCCTAATTCTCCTTTGTCAGTTAAATTTGTACCACGAGAGGCTGTGTGTATTGAAAGGAACATAAAGAAATGTGAAAATAGAATTTAAGCTCCCTTTTTAACTAGCTACAAATTGATGCAGAGAGGAAAAACAACCTCCATTGTAAGTTAACATGTAACTATTTATTAAAGCTGCCCACTTAATATTCCTTTCTGCAATATTTTACTAGAAAAATGCAATCAGTTTCCAATGCTACTGCTCCTGCTAATCAGGAATTTTAAACAATAGTATTGGATGATGTATGCATGAGTCAAGTAGCAAAATCGAATACACAGAGGCTGCAAAAGTTTAAAGCCAGGGTAGAAGTTGACTCTGAGATAATTCAGACTATTATGGCATAACCAGTTTATTGTATATTTGAAATTGTATTTGGTTTTAAATACTTTGGATATTTCATTGCTTTCTTCTTCTAGGTCTTAGAGGCAGGATTGATTTGATTTTATAACTGTAAATTTTGGCCAAAGTACACCCAAGCAGCACAAATTATTTATTTCCCCAAGTATATTAAAGATATAACCTGTCCTTGTTGTTGACTTATTTTTGGTCAACAGAGCTATTAAAGTCAACAGACGTGAAAAGTGTTGGTTAAATAAAGTGTTTACATTTTAGTGTTGTGAGTTCTCCACTGAAGACATTAGTCATTGCCTCATTATCTTCATGCTGGAGCAAGATAAATTTTACTCCAGGTTACCTTTCACCACTTAAAATAAATACATGGACTTTATTCAGAGGTAGTTGAATACTTATGTGGCTCACAAACGCACTTACTGTATAGGATCATGAATCACTTAGCCTTTATAAAAACTGCAGGTACTTGTTTGTGATCCTGGGGGGTAGGTGTGAGAATCCTATACCAGGACAGGGATGTGACATGACAGGGACAAGCACGGCCTGGGAAGACCACACTCAGGAGATGCATGTGAAGGGAACAACCCTAAACAGCAGCCAGTGTGAAAGTAATGCATGAGATAATGGAGAGAGTAGCCAGAGGCAGCTGGTAAGGAGTGCATGGGCTTTCAGGCAGCTGGCTGGTTGGCAGGAGAAATTTTGGTTAAGTATGTTCTCCTGGACAAGTGTGAGGCCATGGGCTACAGAGCCATGAGGGACACAGTCGTGAGCTGTTTCATCAGGTGACAGCTGATGTCTAGAAATAAAGGCAAAGGGGTGCCAACAGCACCTCATCATGCGGCCACATGGGTCAGCTTTAAAGAAATAACCTGATGCCTGTAAAAATAACTATGTATGAAAATCGTGACCTCTTCTGTGACAGCCACTTTTCATAAATGAACTTGTTTGTCTCATTTCATGGTTATTTAAGAAAAAATATAGCATGACAGCAGCCTGTGTCTAAATTGGCTATTGGAACTACCAGAAAAAGCTTTAATGGTTGGAAATTCTGTTACCTTAAGCACAGCAGGAAGCTAAGAATGTTGATGTGAATCTTTGAAATCTTGCCTGTATCATCCACTGCAGTTGTTAAAATAAACACTAATGTTTTTTATTAAATATTCAAACCTCTTCCCTCCATCCCAGTGGAAATCTGTGGAGGAAGTTTCTGATCACAATGCCATCAGCAACAAAACTGTCACTAATGTCAGTGTGATCAACACTCGAACTAGGTGTTTTCAAAAAAGAAAGAAATTGGAAGATGAGAATGTGATGGATGATGTGGCCACAGTTGCTTTAGAGATAATAATTACTTTCCAGCATAGAACACTTAAAAAAGATTGCTAGCCAATGCTCTGATCAAGCAAAACACTTAAGCTGGAGCATAACTGTAATTATGTGATTAGTCTTGTTAAAGTTCTTTGCTCAAAATAGGCAGATGCAAAAATGCTTCTTATTACTTGGACCAAAGAGTAGGACCCTGATTTAGGATTTAGTGAATCAAGTGCTTAAGTACTTCCCTGATTAACATTATTATAATACCTCAGGTATTAGATTACAGCATTAATTCTTCTTTCCATTGCACAATAGCAGCACTGATTCAGAAGAAATACTAAGCCAAGTCTCAGTGGCGGTCCATGAGGCCTAGGCATTGGCTTAAGTGATTTTTAGACTAATCCTTTTGCACACTGGGAGCAGAATATTGAGAGAGGGCTATGGTAGAGAGGAGTTTTCCCATTCATCATTACCTATCACAAGGTGAAATAAACTTTATGCTGCACTTACCATTTATGGCGGGGGCTGGCTGCTCTGTGGGCTATGGTATGCTCTACACGCCTCTCATCCCAGCATATTTCAATGTCAGGCAGTGCCAGCTGAGCTTGAACACTGAAAACACTGTACTTTGGAGTTCATTTACTCTCAGGAGTTTGAATTCAGAGAAGGATAATTTTATGTCTATATGTTATGTGCATTTAATTGTTGTTATGTGTTTAGTAGCACAATTTCTAATCACAAATGGACGTTATTTACCAAAGAAAGCAAAGCAACCTGTTTCAGAATGTAACTGATTTTAGATCTAATACGTTTGCCTAGAGCTCTTCACCCAATCTATTTGATTTTATAGGTCTGTCATGTCTTGTTAAGAGGCAGGAGATTCTAAGTGTGAGGACGAGAATGAAGTTGCATGACTTGGTGCCCGATAAATGCCCTGTCAAAAATCTGTATGCTTAAAGTTACGTTCTTATGTTGATCTACAGCATGGGGTGACTGTACCTTTCATCAGCTCTAATACAGTTATGCACATAAATACCAAACCTCTGAGGTAGGAATTTTGTATTTACTGTTTAAGAGCAGTATGTCATGTTGTTCACACTTTAATCTAATTTTCTCCCACTGTGATAATGTGGCTGCTGAGGCTGTTGCCCTACTTGGAACAAATGCTTGCTCTTTCCTGTGAGATTGAATCTAAATTTACAGTCTGCATGAAGATGGCAATGAAGCAAAGAGCTGTGTCCTCCTCTCCCTGTGCTTCTGCAGACAGACACCTTGGAGGTGTTCTCAGTGCCTCATTCTCCCACTGACAAGGATGATAAAGCTGCAGTGAAAGTAGTAGGCTAGTACATGGTTTGGCTACAGCTTTCCTGTAGGACATTTAGCCCTCCATTTGCTTTGCCTTTGTCCCTGAGTCTATGAGATGACTGAAGTATTTTTATTTTTCCATCTCTTATCTGTCTTGCCCAGTGTTTGCTGATTCTTAACCCTGATTATGAGCACTCTGTGACATTTGGAACCAGGCCACAGCTCAATGGCCACAGATCTTAGGTGAAATCTCTCTGCATTGTTGAAATACCAGCAAAGACAATAAAAAGAAATGGTTATTTAATATGCACTAAAACACTGTGTTTGCCATCCACAGAACAATCCTAGTAACACAGTACTATGGATTTAACACTAGTAAAAAAACCAAGGGACAATATTGCTCTTAAATGCTTACTTTGAAGAGAACAGAATGTAGATGAGCTGTCCCTGCATCAAACCAATTCTTCGTGATATTCCTTTCATCCTTCCTCCCTGTTTCTTTCTGTTCCAGCCTGACAGTGGTGTAACTCGATGTAGTCAAGGCTAATTCAGAGACTTGTCAACAGTAAGATACACAGGAGCACCAGACCTCTGCATTTGAATTTACATACGGGTAGCAAACAAAACAGTGCCAGAGCAGGGATTGGGCAGTTCTTCAATTGTACACACTCTTACAGTGTTGTAAAGGTCCTTGACGTGGTTTGGACCAGCCTCTGTCAGGGCAGTACTCCCAAGTAAATCCTGCAAGCACCTTCTTGGATTAGCGTGGACCAGGGATAATTTTTGGATGGTAAGGGCTCACCTGCAATAGATACAAGCCTTCACAGGCCAGCTGGTACCCATGGATGATGTGGCTATCTCCATGCTGTCTAGGTCATGCCTTCCTTCTCAGTTGCTATTGTGGTCCAAGTGCTCTTGGGAGGAGGTAGGGTGATCTTTCTTCCCCATGGGGTGGAAGGAACAGTTCTGAGAGGTTCTGCATGGTTTGCACCTGAGCAAAATACTCTAATTATATTGTTTAACAAATTTTATTCTTCAGACCAATCTTCTGTGATGGGGGACACTTTTGGTTTGCTAAAGCCAAGAGTTCCTAATGTACAAATCTTCATGAAAGTTAGGGCAAGGTGAGCTCTTGTCCCTGTCAGGCTGTTAAGCCTGTTGGCTCTACCCCACCTCTTTCTGCTCCTGCAAGATAAGAAATGTGTCCTTTTGGCTGGCCTATTTAAATACTCACACAGTAGATTTAAGCAGATGATGTAAAACTGCCAGAAAAGAGTGTAAGTCATAGCCTTTGCTGCTCGATGCTGGTTAAAGACCATATATTCCCTTAAATGGTTTAGCAGCTTCCACGGATTTGCTGAGAAGGACTTAGAATAAAGTAGTTTATTTTTTAGGACAGGACATTTTAAAATTCAGTCACTTTCTTCTAGCTTTTCCAAGCAGAATTTGTACCAGCTAATCCAGTTTTTCGTGGGAGGTGGCTACTGCAGGTTATATCTCAGTGCTAAATATGAATTCAGCCATTGGGAAAGCATTTGCTTGCAAGGCATCAGGAAAAAGAGCTGTAATATTGTGGTCCATTGGTCTGGTGTTTAGCTGGGGCTTGTAATAAGCCGGTTATCAAAGTCAGCCAGGATGTGGCAGGTGGACGACAGTGCAGTGAGCAACTTATCTCTGTTCTCTGCCAACATCTACCTGGTTAAAATGATCTCATCTACAGCTGTTCCTTGGAATAATAGGGATGGAGTTGCTGTGATAATCATTGTTACAGAATCCACTTTGAAAGGGAAATCTTATGTTTTGCTGTGTGTACATACACCATCTTTATTTGTATAGCAACAGAAAGACATTGTAGAAAGAGAGGGAGCTGTTCACTGATGTTATCTTCTGGCATCCATCTCCAGTCTCCTACTGCGTGGCTGCCAAGCAGGTTCTCCATCTATTTCATCCCATCCTTGTGGGGTGCCCAGGACAGCCTCTTCATGACAGCATTTATGGCTTAGCGCAAGGCATTTCTTCTGAGGCATCCTCTGCTGTCTTCTCTGCTGATTAACTTTATAGTGAGAGAGTAAACCGTTCTGTCTTTGAAAGCAATGTGTGCACCCTCGCCAGTGTATTTTACGACCTCTAGTTAGGGCATGGATCCTCCCAGACTTGTGCATTTATAAATAAATAAATTCTAAGAAAACTTCTTGCTGCAGTTTCTCACCCTGCCTGGCAAGCTGCCAGCCCTTCCTGCTACCAGCAGCAGGAGGCACCTACAGCAGCTGCCAAGAAGCTAAAAAGTAATAAGAGAAGTGGAAGAATTGTTAACTAATAATGTGCTCAGGCTCCATACCAAAAAAGTAGCGAAGTACAATGAATTTTAGAAACATCCTTGTGATGCGAAGGTACAAAGTCTGTTTTAACTGGGGGAGGAACACTGTCCTCCTTCAGGTTAGTAAAATATAGTGATGGAATCTCAGTTTGCCTAACTAAATAAAAATATTATGAAATACATTTGCTCTTAGTAGTTTGTGAGTCCTCAGCTAAATGACAGTTTATCTTCCTTCTACTTGTGCTTTGAAACAAACAAGCTGTCACTATCACTTTGCTTAGTGCATTCTAACAATTAGGTACTAAATACAGATTTAGCTTTGCCTCTTCCTCTTTAGCAAGAATTACCCATGAAAATGGCAGAAACTTTCTCTTCTATGCAAGTCTCAAGGGATTTTTTTCCTTAATAAATACAGTATTCCTAAATTAATATAATTGTCTCTCATGGTAGAGGTGTTGGGGGAATAAAACAGAGTAACACAGGCTTATAACATTTTTCTGTCTTTGTTGTGTTTGATATACTTCTTGGGTTTTGATGCCTGGAAACTTATTACCATCTCTGTCATGGATTGACTGCTGGCAGACAAAAATTTTCTCCCAATATTTAATCTTTCCCTGTCTTCTGGTTCATCTCGTTTCATCTCACTTTGCCTTTGTGATGAGGATGAACTTTGAGTCACCCAGATTATTCCCTCAGACCCTCTTGGCTTTTTTCTCAATTATTCGGTATTACTAGGGGATTTTCCCCCTGCTTCCCCTTTCCACTTTGTACATCTTTAAAGTGTTCTGAGTTTCATTCTGTATTTTGATGTCTTTGGCACTAGTACCTAGAGTGAAATCTGTGACTGTCTGATGCATGTGTCACAGACAGGCACTAGGCCCCATCCCTGTATATCACTTCAGATTTGCAGTCCCTTCTTGAGAGTATTCTACAAGCACTCAAGATGCTGCTTAGGACCCTAAAAATCATGTCCTCTAAAGGCATATGAATGCAGCCACACAAAACTATCTGGTTTAAAACATAATCAAGGAAATTAAAGTGAAGGCGTTCTCATAATGAACTCTGGAATGGAGCTGGATAAACCCTTGTAAATGTACCCGATTTTCATCTGTCTGCTAAAACTGCAGCTTTTCTGTATTCCTCATGCCATATCTGTATTTTATCTTTTCTTTTGTCTTGTCCTTAGTGCTGTCACAGTCTGCCTTTGCATGGAACCTTGGGATAGTCAGACTTTGGGGTGTAATTGCACACATGATGAATGGAGGACCAAAATCAACCACAGCCTTCCTAAAGGCTCCTAATTTTGTTAGCTTTTAAAAGGCTGGGGGAGCTTCTCCTACCGTGCTATAGACTTGGTAAAATGATGGTTTACTAGGGAAAAGGCACTTTTACTGAAATGCATGTATTTTCCAAACCGTTTAAGCAGAGCACTTATATTAAATGCTTACTTCTTTTTAAGAGCTTGATTACTAAACAGCTAGCTGTGTTTTTTAATTAAGTTACTATTTCTTTTTCTCATGAAGTCACAGATTGCCTTGTTCCACATGTTGAAGATGCAGAGGTTCATAACAAGACATACAGGACTGGCGATAAGTTAATAATCAGCTGTCATGAAGGATTCCAGATACGTTACCCTGACTTAGACAACATGGTTTCCATATGCCAAGATGATGGAACATGGGATAATCTACCCATATGTCAAGGTTTAGTACTCCAGCACGTCCCATTTTATAGCTCATACATCTTGTCATAGTTTGCCAATATTTTTTGCTACAGCTGTAATAATTTAAGTGATTTGATAAGCTCCACAGTGCAGTGTTTGAGTAGTGCTGCTGCTAAGATTTTTTGATTTCTCTTCCCCTTTGCTCTTTGCAGGAAAGGTGTCACTCCCTGACAATTCCCATGCTTATACTACTATAAATACTGCTTTTTTGTTTGCAAATCTCAAATCTGACACAGATACACTGCATCAAAAAGTAAAAAACAATCAAGATAATCAGTCAGAAGTTCTGATGGGTGTCTTGCATTTTTTCACCAATTAATTTGTGTAAATATTTAAGCTTCTAACTGCACTTTATGTTCCTTCACCTTGTGTAGAAGGCAAGGGTAGAGGAGAGAAACTGGTACCTGTTCTCCTGTCAGAGTTTTCAGCAGAGCTGTTGATTAGATTCACAGTCCATTAAACCTTTACGTATTGACTGAAAATTCAGCGTGTGCACAGGGATGATTTTGGCCAGAAAAGCCATTATCATAGAATTAGAAATATCAACAGCATAGGATCCCAGCTCAACTTAGACTGTGAGAAATGGCTGGGGGTAAGCCAGCTTTAGTGAATGGAAATTCAGTAACTCTGGGTTCCCTTTCCCTTCATATTTCTAATAAGCATATCTGAGTACCACTGATTCTGTTTTAAGCAAGTTAAGTCTTGGTAACAAGCTTGGCCCACTGAACAGCAGGAAGAGATTTTAACTGAGGAGCAGAATGGGTTAGTCCCAACTTTCTTCAAAGCCATCTGTCCTCTCATAGAGCTAACACTTCTCTGTAGGCACTTAATTTTACTGTCACACCAATTTCCAGAGTCAGGGCAGGCAGGCAGGTGAGCTGGGACACTTCTCAGGAGCAGTAGCACATCAGACTGTCGCCCAAGATCCTGCCCTCCATTGGGGCAGAAGCTTAGACATATTACCAGGCTAGGTCACCATTTTAGATCCACACAGGGGAGATTTTGCAAAACCATAGCAAAGCAGGCACCAGTTTTGGGGTGTCTTATCAGCGATAGCATCACGTGTGGCAGTATGAAGTGTACAGCCCCTTTCTGTGGGGGTGCACCTCACATCTAACTTAAGTAGATTAAAATTTTTGCAGCGGGGGGAGATGAATGCTTAACAGATTGATTTGCAGATGCTGCATTTGCCAAAGATCCAGGGGCAAACTTTTTGACACGTAATATTTACTGAGTTAGTAGCAGTACCCCAAATACCCTTTGGCTTATTACTTCTGTTGCTGTGTTTATACTGTGTAACACAATCAATTACTCCTACTTAATAGTCAATATTAACTGCTTTTCAAAATAAAAGCAGTGCTAATAAAAGTTAAGAAATCAATTTCACAAGACCCGTCTGCTGTGATTACTGGGTAGGCAGAGAATAGGCAATTCAGATTCAAGACCCTGCCATAATTTGCCAAATTCCATAAAGTTACTGCAGAATTCCAGAATTTTCTTTTTGACATGTCAGGCACTGGTAAGATCAAAGTCACTTGTCTTCTTGCTCTAGGTAGGCTGTCGGTTACATTTCTATGGCCCTTTCATTACAGAAGGCAGGGGAGTCTTATGACACTAAGATGCCTTTTTTCCTTGCCAGAGCAGTGGGGAAGGATTGTGGAGTATATAAGAATCTAACCTCTATTTTTGCCATGAGATAATAATATTAATTACTGGTCTGGATGATGTTACTTAGCAAAATAATGTCAAAATGGAGTTTTTCAAGCAGTGTTTGAAGACCTAGGAATTTTCACAAATGCTTGGCTGTCATACAAATTCAAATAAATCTCTGTCCTGCATGAACAGGAACATAATGAGCATTAAAATTCTGAGCCAGCAGGACCAAATTTTCCTTGATACAGTACAGAGAAGAGTAAGCTTGGTCTTGCTTGGGCAGTCTCTGCTCTTTCTGTCCCACTGGGGGCTGCTTACCTCGTCCTGCTCGATGTGCTGCTCAGTTTGCAGGAATGAGTGTGGTGTGTGGGGCATTCTTGATCAGGGTAGAAGTAGCAGCCAGCAGACAGGATGCTTGAAGCTTTATTTGAGAGGGACATAACCAGCTGCTTCAACAGCTATTGAAATTGTTGCTCTGGTGGTACAGCATGCTGCAAAAAGCTTTCAAGCTTTTTCTTTTATTTTCTTTTGGTTTTGTTCCTCTCCCTCAAAAGACTGTTGCAAGGAAATGGCTGCTTGAAATGCTGCTTAGGCTTTTTGTTTTAAATTCCAGTACCTTACAAGCAGTTCTCAGACTGATTTTTGTATCCTCCTCTAGCTTAAAATTATGGGAGTCCTATGAACATCCTTCACAAATTCCTAGTAGTGGCAAGATACCCATTTATGGACAGCCATAATGCAGCTTCCATTAGTCACATAATTCTAAAATATTATTTGTCATTCCATGATTACTAGTTATCTTTTCTCCACATTATTGCAAATTAAAAAATCAAACAGTGTCAAGCATTACCCAGAGGGTCATTTCTAGGGTCATGAGGAATGACATGTTATAAAGACATGCTATCTGTTAAATTCACTGCTCTTTGTTGCCCCAAATTTTGGTTGGTGACCATTTAACTGTCGCTGCTCAGTACCAGCCATGGTACAAATCCCTCAGGAGTAATTCCAGAAGTAGCACTGGAACATAGTATCTGATTCTGACTACATTTACAATTTATGATGATAACAGATACCTTAAATTTTTGATAACCTAGTCTAAGACCTCGCTCAGTATTTATCATGGGACTGCTCCTAGGAAGTCATGTCCCTTTAGACTTTCTCAATTCATGACTGGAATTTCAAAGTCATGAATTCTGCCTGCAAATCTTTTACAGTTGCATACACTTTGTCACAGAAGCAGTTTTAATATGTAAGAGTGTTTACATACCTGTCATTTTTTAGGAGGAGGAATAAAACTCACCATTTATATAAATGAAAATCTTTATTTATTAAAGATTCTACCTCAAAAAGAGATTGCCATCTGCTGAAATGGTAAATGTTTGTTAAACAAAATACTGTCGGTTTCGGAAAACCTTTCCTGGATTTGTTGGGAGTGAAGCCCATGCTAGCAAAGCGTGTGGGCTAAACAACAAAAGGGTTTGAAATAGAATAATGAGGCAGATCTATCTGAGGGAGATCATGCAGACATGCCATTCATTGTGGAGAGGATGAAAAATCACACTCCTCAATTTAGAAAAAGTAACTGAGATGTGTGAAGATGACTGAGATAAGCACTTGATAATAAAAGAAATCTCCCTCTTCTTAATTTGCAGGTTGCCTGAGGCCGTTGGTTCTTCCTCATAGTTACATTAACATTTCTGAGTTCGGGGCCTCCTTCCCTGTAGGAACAGTGGTGTATTATCAGTGCTTTCCTGGATATAAACTAGAAGGGGCAGAGATCCTTGAGTGCATGTATAACCTTATCTGGTCAGATAGCCCACCTAGGTGCCTTGATGTGGAAGGTAAATGCCTTACTGTTTGTTTCTCTTTCTGGTTTGCAAGACCTGCATGCTCTCTGTGGTTTTAACTCAGGGCTGTAGCCACGGTTCCATTCTCAGTGATATTCTCACTGGGTGTGCAGAGCCTTTGTGGGTTCTGATGTGTTCCTGCTGTGCTTCACTGCACCCTCAACTCGTGGTGTTCCCAAGTAGTGTTTGCTCTCACAGTGTCCCAATGCAAGAGGGAAAGCTCCTAATGATTGCTTTGCCTTTAAAATGAAAACTCTCTGCTGCCTTTCTGATTAAAACACTGAGGAAGTTACATAACTCACCTTCCTGTGCAGATGGTCAGAGCTCCTACACATATGGATAGATTTCCATGATCAGCTAAAATATACACCACAGAAATCCTTGGTTTGGGCTGTGCCAGCTGCAGTCATTACTCAGCGCCACATGGTGCTGCACACTTGGGTATTCGCTGTCTCCCCTACCTTAAAGAAGGATTGACAATGAAAAACAACTGAGCTAGTTTATTGATGAGGAGCATAAAAACCATTCATTGTGAAGCAGCTGGATCCTACCGAGCCAAAAGGCTCTGTGACTAGAGCTGGGATGGAGGGTGTTGTAGTGTGTTTATCTATGCAACCCAGACATCTAAAACAGCGATACTGGATGGATTGTTCCATACATTGCCAAAACTGCATAAACTACCCTCCTCCATCTTCACATCGTGAATGAAACATCCTAGGAAGTCTTGAGAGTCCAAATACATCCTCTGCATTTCATTCCCTTAAAAAAAACCACATTTTTGTTCTATTTCAAGCCTGTTAAGGGAGCTCTCTATATGTAGAAATTAGCTAAAAGCAATTATAGGAATTCATATGTGATGCTTATGTCATTGAACTAAATGCTAAGTATTCTGGAAGTGCAAAAATTTGCCAAAAGCATCAACAAAGTGACAAACTGCACAAAAATAATTTCATTATCCTTATTTTTAGCTGACAATTCAAGTTCTAAAATTCAAACATGCTTTTGCAATTTTGGAATGACAAAACAAGATGATTTTTTTGTTGTTGTTTATTTAGCTTACCATGAAAGATTAATCCTCAACCAGCTGTATGTAAGCCATTTTTGGAAGGTTTGTTTGTTGTTGTTTATAGCATGGAAAACACATTAAAAAATCAGAAGGGCCCTGTTAGGCTTAATCCAAACAATATAACTGATTTGAGAAAAATTACAGTTCTTCAGTTAGAAAGATAAGAGCATGAAACTCAAGTATGTGAAGCAGGAAAAATTGTGTCTTACTGTTACTTAACACAGGTGAGCATCCCAGCTGCTATCAAAATACCCAAGAAAACTCATGTGCTCATTGTTTCTTGCTTGTATGATGAAATCATAGAGAGGCTCTTTTTCTTGATAATTTAAAACATGAGGTAGGAACTCCTGCCCCTGACAGTTCTATATTTTATGTGTCAAAAATTATAATCCCCTATCAACTACGATGATCTGTGATGGGGGGATCGGTGTGTGCTAAGGCCATTGGGAAGGCCTCCTGAGTTCTGATTTCAATTCAGCCTCCCTTTGAATCACTTTCTTCCTGCACTCTTTAAATGCCAAAACTTCCTATGGTGGTTTCATGTGGGCATCCCATCAGTGCATTCATTCAGTGAACCACAGGAGACCAAATCGGGAGCACAACACTTGCAAGAGCTGGTTCTGCTCAGCTTTGGGGGAGAAGAGAGCTTCTGGCAGCACTGAAAGGTCACTCCTGACAGCTCCCCTTGTGAACTCTGCTGTAGGGCTGCTTCAGCAGGTGTGCAGTGATCCAAAATGAATCCAGACTGGGTAAATCAACTCGAGATGCCCTTGTTTGAAAGTGCTTGTTCAAGAGATTTATGCAAGGAGTGCCAGTCTCCAGGAATCTTGTTACAATCCACTACTCTTAATTACTGGACAAAATTCCTTTCCTGCATATTTTTTTATTCTCCACCTTGCATTCCAGTGTCAAGCTAATTTTTCAGCGTTCCTTTTATGTGTGCAGTGTAATCTGGCCAAGCAGTATTTTTCACAGAGGAAATCTGCAAATAACGAATTAATTCCATTTCTTTCTTTCCATGTTCAATTTAAAAGGTATTGTAATGATATTTCCTGCTTAGTATTTTAATATGGTAATGATTAAAAACAGATGACTGTTAGGAAGCTACAGCAAACCTTTTGAGAACTTTTATTTTCCTATAAACCATGCTGCTTACAGCTTCCTCATTTAGATGTATGTTCTTATTGAAGCCTCCACAGAAGGGATTTCCTAAATTTGTGTGTAGTCACAAAAATACTATGCATCAATCTGGTGAATTTTTTTCCTCTTTGTTAAGGCAAATAAATTCTGAAAGAAGGGTTTGTAGCTCTATTTAAACAGAAGATCACACCAGAGACCATGCAGCTCCTGCACATCAGAATTTCTAATGATTCTTAGCTTTACTCTCAATATTGGTAAGCACAGAGTTCCCACCAGCTTGGGTGAGACATTAATTTTTGCTGTTAGTGAAGAAAGTTTTTTTTTCTGATAAGTGTAATCAGTCAGTGCAGAGCATAGAGACTGTGTCACCTGGCACTGAAGTGCGGCCAACAGTGCAGAGCTGAGCAGCCACTGCTCAGAAACAGCCGCTTGCAGCTGGCCAAGGCAGTGGTTATGGCTCTGGCAAAAACGGATGCCTCTATCTCAGATTGCCAAGTGCTTACTGGTATGAGATCCTCTTCTTAAATGCTGGTACCTTTGCCAGATTTAAAACATTTGGATTGACTTTTGAGTGTCAGCCTCAAGCTGAATAATTTGGGCAGCTTCAGTTGAAATGGTTGAGCAATATCAGATGAGGTCAGTGAAGGAAACGGTGTTATTTTAGCAGTTCTAGAAAATTTTGCAGTCATGTAGAGGATCAAATGAATCATCACACTGAACTTTCTTATTCTTTAACTTTCTTAATTTCCTTTTTTTCTAGTGGAATTCCACAATTATGCAGAAACTTTTTAAACCTTCTTCTGTACTGAAACTCAAGAGACACTTCCAAGAAAACTGAAGGAAATGGGCTTTGGGTTTTTTAATATGATTTTTTAATTACTAGTTTGGGGTTAATTATCCATCTGTAGAAACTGGTGTAAGTTAGTGATTCCCTTCTGTAAAAGCTGGTTTGCAAAATATGGGTGCAGAATTAATGAGTGAAGAATACCACATGGGGTATAAATATTAATTGTAAAATAAATCAAACAGCTTTCAAAACATCAGAGGAGAACAAACACTTGAAAACATACCTGTATGGAACTCTGAGAAATGAAACATTTAAAACCAGGAAATCTTTATGATATGGTACTTTTAAGTGAATTAAGATACTACACAGTATTTTCAGGGGAAAAAAAAGAAAAAAACAAAAAAAGAAAAAAAAAACCCAAACCAAACTGAAAAAAAAAACCCAAAACCTGGGCTATAAGTACTTTAGCAGATAAAGAGAGGCAGAGCTGGGAGAATTTGATTGCAGTGCCAGAAAGTTAAGCAGTTGTATGGATAGTGTCATTGGCAATTTCCAGCTTTGTATTTAAGAGTAAAAAGGAAAACAGGTTGATTCAATTTGCAAACAATAGACATGTTCCTGTTACCTAGAATGTCTTGTTTCAGCATCATCCCAGCTGAACAGAAAAGCTGGTCTTGCAAGAAATCAAATATATTGCAATATCAAAACTTCATTCTCTTTGTGAGACCACCAGATTCTCTAGCGGAGGTTAAATTTGAAAGCATGTAAAACAGAAAATTTCAATTATTTGTAGGTAGATTTGAAATTAAAATGCGACAAACATGAGTAATAGACTTCAAAAGGGAGATTCATTAAACAGAAGAGAGTCAAAACGCAGAAAAAACCTGAAGGTATTTCTGAATTTTGGAATACAAAACCACCTCATTGTGAGGGTAAATGAAAAGATACAAAGCTAAGCAGCCATAAAGGTACTGACAGGATTCTGAAAATTTTGGAAACTGTGGAAGAAATGTAGGAGAAGGAAGGAATTAAAAAAATTTATGACAAAGCCAGAAGTGCAAGGGAACCCAACCCTCCTTACTTGGGCACCAGGAGATTTCTGGAGAATAAAAAAGGGTTAGCCAGATGAAAATCCAAACCAACAAAATATGCTGCAGAGGAAAAAAATACTCTGGAAAGACAGGTAAGAATGCAGAACAGAGCTTTAAAATTTTCCTTCTTATAGGCCTGGGGATAGATACTCATAGAGAGGGGCTGATAATTCTGACTTAGAACCTAGAAAGTAAAGGGTATAAAGGAAGAGGGTGGTATTATAGATGAAGTGCCATAGCCTTGTAGTAGTTAAAAACCAAATAGTTGAAACTTTGTTACCAGCCATGTGCAGGACACTTTGAAGGAAAGCTTCACAGATCCACATTCTTCCATAACAATTCCTAATGCTATGAACAGTGACTGACACTGAGCTATCTATCTGATAAACTAGGCACTAAAAATTCTTTTAAATTCTTGAAGGAACATAGAGCAACAGTCTGAGATAAAGGGATAGCAGCCAGTCTGTTATCAGTTATGTTCAGGAGACAGGAGGAAGTAAGCAATCCTAAGCCTTAGGCATTACACATTGGTACAAATGGATTTCTCTGTGTTTCTCTGCTGACTTTGAGAAGGCTTTAGATAAATTCCAACTTGACAGACTGACATGTATCCTCGGGGATGATAATGTTGATGCAGCACATCTCCAACACACAGAAGTCCTGTAAAGGGAGCAGAGGGCAGCAATACAAGCAAGTTATGAAACACTGTGGTATTGAGCAATTAAGTGAGGTAGATACCAGGATTCTGTTTTAGGTTTGCAACCACTCATCTGGCAGGCAGGAGGAAGAATAAAATAAATAGCGCTCAACTGCCGAAGAGGTCATCCAGGTTAACTGAATTAATGTTAACTTACGACAGACACATTGATAGCCTGATTTTTAATAGCTCTGACTACAGTGGTATTTCACT